AGAATGGGAACAAACTCTGTCCCCTCATACACATGTGCAGTTCCCAAAGAAAACAATGATTCTATATAAAGTGGTTTCTTGAAAATGTTTTCAGGTGCTGAGAGCCTTAGAAAGAAATGGTCGACGAACCATTACTGGTGACCTAAAAGCTGTGCTTTCAGGATGGAGTTTTCAAAAGCTCTTATTGAGGACCTCCATAAAACTCATGGGAACAAAGGTACTTTTGTTTTGAAGATCTGCCCTAACTGTGTAAGCTTTCCAGGTGCTACAAGAGAATGTGAATTAGGCTATCTTTTGCCCAAGAAAAGCTTGTTTGACCACTACTGATATGCCCTTACTCTGTCATGGGGGCATTTCTGCATTCTGCAAGCAGTGCAGAAATGGGAGTTGCCACAGCATCCAAGGACTGTCATAAAATTATAAACTAGCAATTGAACTCATGTGGAATCAACTCAATTTTCCTCTATTTAATTCAGTTTCTGCTTCTGTCTAACAAGCAAAACGTGTTATTCCTTCATGAGAATGAATTTCTACTGTAATTGCTTTAATTAAATGGTACTAGACAGGTAGTGATGTAGGATAAAAACACTGCCAAATTAGATATTCAGGGGTACACTAACATTCTAAAGAGCCCTGGGCAAAAGTTAAAATTCTAGTATTTTGTAAATTGGGATTTATTAGCATCATGACACAAAGCTCACTGTGCCTACTCAAAATGTTGCAAAGTGTCATTCCTGATTCCTCAGCCTCATCTCTTGGGCAGCCTTTGACTGTATTATTTGATGATTTTTTTTCTGGTTTGGTTGTTTTTGTTTGTTTGTTTGCAATTTTGTTGTTGTGGTTTTTTTTCTTATTTAAACTTCTCTGTATCCTTTTTCAAACTTGGAAGTGTGGTCATTGCTATAGAGTCAGTGGAGTACATAGTGGAATGGTCACTTGTGGTTGGATTTAATAATAACTAGGAGGGCAATGTGAGGTCCATTTATAAATTATAACAGCTTGAAAAGCTTTGTGTATAATAGCTGGAGAAATACAGCAGATGTATTGCCCAAGTTCAAGAGCAATTGATTACAATACAATCAAAAGAGATGTACTTATGAGAGTGCAGGAATTCTTAAGTCAGTGCTTAATTTCTGTTTTCCTGACTGCTGGATCCAACTGTTGTGTCTCATTTTCTATATGCATCATAAAGCTACATGAATGTGTTACTGTTTCTCCCAGCCTGATGAAGCCTCCTACCCTGATCAGTGACACTAGGTTTAGATTTCATTAAGTTCCAGATAATAAATGCATCACAAAATGAAAGGATCAATCGGTATCTGTTGTATAAATTTCGTAGTGGTGGCATCACTTTTTGTGAGGATTAGCTCATTCCTTTTGTTGCTACACTGTGCTCCCTGCTTATCATTTAATTCCTTCTCACGCTGTTTGAAGTATTTAATCTCTTGCATTATATATTGGGTTTAAAATACTATATTACTAAGTATTTAAATATTTTATAAACATACGAGCTTTGTAGTTAATATTGTTCCTGATCTTTCTGCTAGTTGACATATAATGTTTGCTCCTTCTAGACAGGAGAACAGTCTAACTCTTAGGATTAGACACACAGGTTCCAGTGCTCAAATGGGATCCACAAAAGGCAGAAGAGGTTCCATGGCACTTAGTAAACCTTAGTAAACTTAGGGAAATTGTACTGGCTGTGCTGCCAATCAGCATCCATCTCTCACTTATTGTTCCTTTCTAAGTAAGGTCAAATCGAGTGTGCAGTAAGTACAGTATTCTACAGACCTCAGTGTCTGTAAAAGCCCTGTCTGCAGATTCGTCTTTGAAGTGCCACTGCCAATGTAACTGCTTTTATATCCAGCAAATATATATATTCTTTCCAAGTCTTCTGTACTTTTCCTGACTGCTAATTTTGTCTCTTTTATAATCTTGTTATCTCATCTATTTCTTTGAATGGTGTTTTTAAGGAGGCTGGAAATCAAGTTGCCCTTGCAGTCATGAGAAGAATTAAAAAAAACCCAAAATCAAAAAACCCACTAGTAAAAATAAGATTTAGCTACTGAATGCTGAGCATTCCAAGATTGGAAATTATGTGAGCAGCTCTTTATCTTGTGCTTGAGAATAGTATAGGCTGCAAGGGTGACAACTGAGTGCGAGACAGCATAGCTGCTAGGGGGCAAACAGGGAGTTGAGGGCTTCAAACCTGCCTCCGGTAGTGGTCTAGTTCTTTATGTTAACCGATTGCTAAATTTCATAAACAGTTATCACAGAAGGAACTGGAGCATACTTCTCTCTCACCTAGCTGCTCTGCCCTCAAAGCTACAGAATCATGCTCTTTGCTTTTTCTTTCTCCTCATGACTAAGGAAAGGCTGGAGGGGGTTCTTTCCCAGCCAGAATAATGTACAACCCATTTGTGAAGACACTTTCCAGGGAAATTAGCGGTTGCAGATAAAGCTTCATCTCTCCCACCTCAAAGCAGTACTGAATCCATTAGACAAGGGTATGTGTGGGACCTAGAAACATCAGATGGATTTTTACCAGTGCTGCCTGAAGGGAAAGAGTTATCCCAAGCACATTTTTAAAAGAAGGGGTTTCTTCTTCTCAGGAAAGTTGTTTACCTTTTATATCTCTTCAGAGATCTTGAGAGGGATAGCACTTAAGATATATATGGGTCTGCTTTGCTAATTGGTGGCTACTTGGAGGCTAGTCTCAGTACTATTCTCTGAGGTTAATTGGATCCTCCATCAGCCTAGCTTGAGTATCTACTTCTGTCATAATATCGTACAGTGTAAGGAGCTGTGCCTCCCATTCCTGATTTCTTACTCAAGTCACATAGCCTGATGCTTTGCATAACCTGCAAGGTAGTAGGAGACATGGGCTTGAATTTCAGGAGCCAAAGAAAGGAGCTGAACCATTATCTCTGAAAACATCCTGAGTATATCCTTGAATCCAACTATATCCTCTGACTTAAGAGTTTGAAATTTTTCTTTTTTAATGTTATCCTGGCTGAGACGTGTATCCACCTATAGCAAACTTAAGTTTTACTGATGATAGGTATGCTCTTAGTTATTCTTTATGGATTACATTGAGACAGTCTGTTCTTGTATAATGCCTGTAGACTACAAATTGAAAATAGGCTCAGCTACATTCAGCTACTGAAAAAGAGGGAAAACTAGCACTTTGCGTTACATTTTAAAAGTGTTGGTTAACACTGTACTTCAGATGTGCTTGATCATGATCCAGTGTGTCATAAGAACATTTACTGAATTCAGTTTTTCATGGAAGATAGGCAGGAGATTATCAACTTGATTTTTATGTTTGATTTTAGCTAAATTCTGACTTCTCATTTTTCCCAAACCTGGAAAAAAATCTGTGTATGTATTAAAGGAAAATTTTAGGCACCTGGAAACTTTTCAAATAGTAAAAGTAGATTCCTTGAGTAAATTTCCATCTGAGTTCAGGACTTCAGGATTACTTTCTTGAATAAAGGCAACTCTGTTTTTTTTTTATTCAGTCTACTTCAAGTGCCTGGTATCCTTCTTCACTTCTTTTAGTTTTTTCCATTTGGACAGACATGAATTAACCTTACAGTGTGCCTACAAATGAGTGAATTAATACCTAGGATATACTGCTAATGGTGTTGCATTTACTGCTGAACTAGGAAGGAGAATTAGTTACCTTAGCGTCTGGCTGTCTGTGATCTGGCACCAAGCTTAATTGGACAGCAACAGCTCCTTGAATTAACAAGTCCTGCTGGCAGCATGCACCTGATTCCCAGCGTGAGCAGAGGGGATGCAAGGGAAAAGATATCTGACCAAAAAAAAAAAAGCTCATCTTTTTACTTTCTTTAATTTTTTTTCCCCGTGATAATTAACAGGTAGTGATCAAACATCAATTGTATTTCAGGAACTGCTAGCTGAGAAATGCTTTCTAGATTTTGAAAATTTTTGGCAGAGAGTTCAGAATTTGTATCTGTCTTGTGAAATCTTGGAACAGAACAGTCTTATTTATAGTAAATACTGACAGAACATTGGATATATAATGAAGAATTATGCTACTTTGTGTAACAAAACACTTTTCATACCACTTTCTCTAGTCAATGAATGCATTTTGACAATGAATTACTGAGTATTTTGTGGTGTTTTTTGAAGTATTTTTGACACTGGCAAGGAGAAATTATGGCATAGATACTTATGGTAGACCATCTCAAAAGAATCACCCAAGAGCTGTAAAAATGGTTTTGGTGGGAGAATCCCTGTTCTTTAACCATTATGTGGCAGCTTGGCTGTGGAATATAGGAAATGAAAATGATTTTCAGCTTTATGTCATGTATCTGCATGAAAAAGTTGAATCATTCAGTATGTTTAGTTGGTTGCAGCTAAAATATGATGCTCACAATCTCTTGTATCTGTGTTTGTGCGTGCGTATGTGTGTGTGTAGGACTTCTAAACCTGATAAAATTGTAAATAGATTTAAGTGTGCCTTAGAACATAACCTTAAAAGCCATCTATCCTCATAATATAGTAGCTGATAAACTCGTTATTCCACCTGTTTACTCTTCTCTTTTGCTACAGCATGGATTTTGTATGATTTTAGTTAAAAGAAAGAAGGGCAAAAAGAACTGGAATTGAAGAGGACCGGTTTCTTATGGATTTTTTTATCTTTGTTAATAATTAAATTATAGAGCTCTTCTTTTATCTCTGAATATGCATATATTCTGGTAATGGTATGCCGGCTGCCACACTTGACAGCAGAAGTGGGCTGATAAGATTGTTAGCACCCTGCATTTTAGTGCTAGGATCCTGGTCTCTCTTCTCTTCAGCAGCTGCTGCTTTCAGAATTTGTAAGAGCATAACTATCTTTGAGATTTTTATCTTCTCAGTCACATTTAGTTGAAATTGGACTACTTAGTTCAAAAATTACAAGGAGAGGACACACAGACTGTATTATACTGTTGCGCAGCCTTGTTTCCATAGGAAACTGGGCTAAAAACAGCCTGAAAGTCAGCTTTATCCTCTGCCAAAAAAAAAAATCCCCTCCCAATTTGTATGTCTAGATCATAAAATAATGAGGATACTCCGAAGCAATTACTTTTAAGGAAGATTGCATGCCAAAGCACACATTGGCAATGCCAAATACTCATCTTCTGTTAGAAAGAAGCATTTCATCTGAGGAGGAGTAGATAGGAGTCATCTAGCTATGGAGAGCCTTTTCTGCCCAAACCTTTCCATGCTGTCTCCATGCAGATGAAAGGAGAGGAGAACTACAGAAAGGTAAAACATTGTTTCTTCTCTACCTCCTGTTGAAGATCCAGATAAGTCTTCTGCCTTCACTCTGCCTCCCTGTTCAAAGCTCCCTTTCTCTACAGGTGTGCAGGGAACATTATGAAACTAATTAGAAGTACAGTATGAAAAAAATTTGAGATGCAAACTTTCGGTTTTATATTGCAGCAAGAAGAAGCCTTGCTTGTAGAATTTAACTGATATATGACAAAGTGAAAGAATGAATATTTGGCTAAATCATAAAAGAACTATCAAAACCCAGCATCCCATAGAGATATATCATTCAGTAAACAGGAACTTTTAAGAATAGTTTCACCTGGAAATAGTGTTACATAAAAACCAACATTGAATTGCTTAATAAGATGATTTCAGACATCTTAGAAAATATTGTCAGGAAAAAAATCATCATTATTTCAATGATAAAAATGAAAGTAGATTAAAAAGCAGTCACAGCCTGTTTGCCAAGTACAACTAAATCAATAAATTAGAATAACTTAACTTGAACAGTGCAAAATTTTAAGACTTTTGTCTTGGCAGGCTTGTCAGAAACTTGACTAAGTGCTAATTTGCTCTGTATTTTTTCTGTGCAAAATGTCAGCTCTGATCTAGTATTATTTAACCTTTGGGCTAAGTACTGGTCACTCAAGTCTCACAAAAATAACGTATACTGTATGTCTAGTACATGTAACAGACATATGCTGAGACCAGCTTACTACTTTCACAAATATGTGGAAACTAAAGGCTTAGTCAACAGAAAGCTTCCTTATACTTTTAGACATTCAAATAATGATTGTTTATGTAGTAATACATTTGGAAGTGTACAGTTCTGGAAATAACTTAGTACATGTAGGTGAAAACGCTTTTAAATTGAATGAAACCATAGATAATCCATCTCATTTGTGTTAGATGGGCAGAATGCAGTAAGTTGCTTAAGGCTTAAGCATTAAGCCTCAAGTTAGTTACCTCAACTCCTTCTGTAGGCAGTGGAGAGAAAGGGGCATCTCCAGAGTGTGGTTCATCCCATGTTAATTGTATGACTGGCATAAAAGTGGGGAAAAGTGAAGAAAAGAGATATTCTCATTCTGAAGACAAGGAGTATTTTAAAAACTTGTCACTGATCTTAACACGTCTTTCACCTTTAGAGCAGGACTTCAGACGTGTTTTGTTGCAACATTTACAGCATGTGACATACCAGCCTGCTAAGATGTATTTAGGCAGTGATGCATAGGAACTGTGCCAGGTAAGGATTTCTCTTTCTACAGCATTTTGCAAATGGACTAAGGTTAATGCAAGATGCAGGTAGGATATATCCTTCTCTCCAGTTTGCTTAGAGATAGTGTGATTGGCTTATTGAGTTCTAAAAAGCCTTTTTCTCTATTATTATGTAATCAGGCTTAGTACTAGTAAATATATTTGATAGCAGTTTTACTATCTGAGGAGCAGACTGATTGCAGATTCCCAGTCATGTATCCAAGAGATGATGTTATGACAGCTGCCATTTTTATTTCATTGATTGAGAACAGTAACGAGGTCAAAATCATATATCTAAAACTGGTTCATTTAAGCCTCTAATGAGCTGTATGATATGAAAGCTTTTTCCATGTCTTATAGTATAGACACATACTGTGCAATAGGAAAAATACAGATAAGCAAAACATCTGAAACAAGAAATAATTTCTAAAGGCAACAGAAATAGCAAGATAATAGGAATATATTTTGAATTTTTTTATGATTCTAATAATATAAAGGAAATCTGGGGTGTAGTAACATGAGGCTGCAATGCCATGTTGGCTTGCAGCCAGAAATTATTTTCCATTGTCACTGGAGGAAGATATGTGCACTGAAACACATGTTTATGGAGTCTGTTGCTGCCCACAGGTACAGTCAGGAGTCCACTGTGTGGAGACCTGGGAAATGCTGACTGGGAGAGCCATGCTCTTTAGAGTTGCAGTCTAATTTAAGATGTGATTGAAGAGGTAGGAGATGGTCCTAAGAGGACAACTGAGGGCAGGAGGCTTCCGGTACTGGGGAAACAAAGCCAAGGAAACCAGCTCTGTGCAAAAGTCTCATGTTTTTATTCATTTATTTATCTGTGTTCTTATGACATTAATTATTATTCAGGGTTTACTGTAAAACTATAGGATCTTACTTATTTTTATCTATTAAGAGACAGATGTGTTCACCCACTGAATTAATACATGTGTAACTTTTCAGGTATATCGCTCATCTCTTACAGGATTGAATTCCCATGGTTTGCAGTTTCTAATGAGCTGGCATACCAGCTATCCATCTGAACTGAAATACAGACACTTAAGACTAGTAGATTGCAGTAGAACTGCAGATGTGTTAGTGTCTTAAGAGCTTATCTTAAAACAACCCTTCTCTTGTTTTGGCATCTTGCTTCAAACCACTGAATTTATGGGGTGTAAAACAGTCTGTGAAATTAATCACAGCTAAAAGAATTGCAATTCAGCTGTATTTGTAGGCCAAAACCTGCATTTATTCATGCAATATAACGGCTACCCATGAAGTTTGGTGTACTAGTCTCGACATACTGATGGTTTCATTCACGTGTTCTAAACCCAATGAAGAACAAGACCAGAAATCAATTTCTTTTAGTTGACAGTATTGTATCTTGTCTAAAAAATTATTTCATATAATTTTAAACATAGTATTTTGTTATCTTCCTCTTACTGTTTCTCCCTGTCTTTTAAGAAGATCTCAGTCTCTTTATCTGAAGTTTTTTGCGTCAGGTAGACCTTTTTCTTTCTCAGTAACTCATCTTTATACTTTTTTTCTTAAAACGTGTTTCAGGTAGATAGTTTTGACACTTTGTTTTCCTCTCAAATGCCAGTTGTAGAGAACAAACTAAAAACATTTTAACTTTTTTAACTGTTTCAGCACTGGCATTCAAAACAATTGCATTATGTTTCAATCCTGAAACCTGGTTTTTGCATTGAAAAAAATTCACATTGAGTCAGTGTCAAGTTGATTGTATTTAATTTTTCAAAGATGTCTTCTAAAAGTCTGTCTTGCAGTGTAGAGCCAGGCTGTCACTGCTGTTTGTTTTGTACATGCCTCACTGATTTTTGTGGGATAACAAGTAATAAGGCACTGAAAGATTTCTGTCCTTAAGAAGCATACCAGCCATTATTATAGGATCATTCTGTTTATTTCAGCCTCTTCCAGTGTTTTCTGTGTCAAAGTTACCAGCCTGACCTGGAGGCCAAGTAGCAGCCATCCCCTCTCCTCAGGAGATGCTGGATACAGGGCAAAGGAAAAGGAAGCAGCCAGTACCATTGCAACAGAAAACTATAAGACCAGAAAAAGCCTTGCAGTTTTGGTGCAAAGGTGAATCTCTTTCCCCATTGCCATTTTTTCTTTTTGAATACTTGTTAATATTTTAAGTGCATTCTCATTTCTGCCCTTGGCTCTCCATACCTGGAAAAGGAGAGGAAAAATTAAGACCATTTTGAGCCATCTTCCCTTCAGGCCTGAGAAGAGGCCCAGAGTGGCTATAGATGAAGGTGGATGTGCTGGGTATGGATGCAGATGGCTTGAATGTACCTAGGTATGGGGCATCCACCACTTTTCTGGGCAACCTGTTTCATGTTTCACCCCCTCGGTGTAATTTTTTTTTCCTTCTATTTAGTCTGAATCAACTCTTTCTTAATTTAAAATCATTACTCCTTGTCCTTTTGTTATAGGCCCTACTGATGTCCTGATTAACCACAGTGTGGCCCTTTGAACCAGAGCACATTCAGGCACTCAGGGACTTCTTGGAGCATCTAGTTGTCAAATTCATTTCCACAGTGTGTGTCAAAAGAGAAGTCTTCCAGAAGAGTTTGTGTTTTGTTCAGAGACAGTACTTTTTTCTTAGGGACCACAAAAAGCAGCTTTGTTGACACATTTCCGTTTGCCACTCCATAGTATGAAGTGACAAGTTATCTGACAAGACTGGAAAAGGAATTCGTAAAGCTATTGCATAGCAAATCTTTTCCTGCCCTTCCCTCTCTAATTTCAGTCTGGAATGGAATATATGAACAGTTTTTGCATACTTAAAAAACAAACCTCAACCAGATAACAAGTTAAAGATTTTTTTTGTTGAAAATTGATTGGCAAAATTTGAAATTCCTGACAATAAGGAATGCCATAGAAAATTCTGAGAAATACAAGGACTGAAACTTCCCATCTCCTGTAAATAGCTCCAAGAATTTGCTTTTAGCAGTGTCTCTAGAAATAATGAGAAATAGCACAGAAGATTAATGACACTGCCATTATCATAGTGCTGATTATAATTGGATACACATTAGAATAGCTTCACACTGTGATTAGCTGTTCAGTTTAGGATTATTGTAGGTTTAGAATTTTGAATTTTAGAAAGGTTTACTGTGGTAGTTAGTTGCTTTTTGTGATGTATTTTTTATAGCTGTACCAAGATTTATCAGGAGAAGTGAAACAAAAAATGTTCCTTCTTTATGCAGACTGCTATTTCATTTTCTGTTTATACACTTATAATAGTGTCAGAGTAGTAGACCAGTATTTGTATTTTACATGTTAAAGGCATTCATAAAATTACTGCATGGCAAATCACTCTTGATAGCAATACGTACCAGGTGTAACAAGACTATTACAAGGCTACTGTTAATGAATAGTCCACTTTCCAGCTCCTTTGAACTTTCTTTTAACAGGTGGATATGCATATATAAGTTGGTATTAGTAAAATCTTTCTTGGTTTCTAAGAATTGCTGGAGAAAGAGGGAGTGGGAGAGACAGACAGGTGAGAAAGTATAATAAACTGGTAATTCTTTAGTGAGAAGACACAATTTTCTCATGCAAGCCCACTTTCAGATGGAAATTCCCTCCCTCAAAGCATTTTTGTTGGTTTTTTTGTTATTTAGAGGAATATAGGGAATGCATATGAGGAGCAAAGAAAATTTTAGTCATTTGCCAAAAACATTGTATTACTAGATCTTACCTTCTGAATAATTATGTCCAATATCTACTACAGTAGGAACAATTTGCAGTCCCTTTTGTAAATATAGTCAATCATATTTTACAAATAATGAGCACATTTTGCCCACTTGTGGTTTTTTATCCTTCTTGATTACTCCGTTCACCCATGCATTGTTCCATTTTCACTCCATGGTGAAAATATGGGTATCAGGCAAAAGTATTCTAGACACAGTACATTATGTAAGAGCACAGGCTCTTTTCCATATACTCCTAGTATAGTAGAGGTGGTTTGTTTGGTTTTGGTGGGTTTGTTTGTGTTTTTGTTTATTTGTTTTTTGGGGGGTGTTTGTTTTTGTTTTTTGTTTGGTTTGGTTTGGGTTTTGTGTTGTTTTGTTGAGTTTTTTTGTGGCTTCATCATCATGTTGTCATCTCCTAATCTTCTGGGCTAGATTTCATAACAAGTAACCTAAAAGGTGAGCACCCACTCTAAATTAGTTGTTGAACTGGAGAGAAAAAGACATCTAGTGTGTGTGATTCATCACACGTAAAATTTCGTTTTACTTCAATATGAATCACGAGCTAAAGATACTCTGCACTAACTGCAGAGAAATCTTTGATGGCTAGCTTAGGCTAGACATATTTTAGATGTCTGAGCTGGGTCAGTTGAATGTGATGGTCTGTGATCACTTGTACACAAAGACTTTTTCTTGATTCTCCTGGTCACAAAGAGAGTTCTCTTGTGCAAGAAAGCAATAAATACGCTTCTGTAAAGTATTCTGCCAAGGAAAAAATTATGCAATGTCCAGAGCATCAATGCCTTTATTCTTACATCCCTCTTCACAAGGTGTGATGGACTGAAATGTCAGTAATGTCTTAAACATTGTCAAAATCATAGAAAGACTTTTTGTCAAACTGCAAGGAAGCAACAGTCTGTCTGTGACCACCAAAGCCTGACTGGAATTTGGACTGTGAAGGGGGACTTAAGATAAGGCTATTGTCTAATCATCTCAGGTTTGAGGAGAAGTAAACAAGGCTGAGGAAAGAACAATGTATCTGTGTTAAGAATCAGCCCTAGCTGGGCTCAGGGGGTGGTGTAGGAGAAGGATTTGGGGTGTATGATGGTGAAATCTCTCCACACCAAATCAGAAGGAGAAAACTTCCCCCTCCACACTCCAGGAAGACCATGTGCACACAGGACATTCACATCAGAGGCAGCTGAGAAGGGGTCATAAACCATCAAAGACCCTCAAAGCACCCCTGAACTCATTCCTGAGGCCTTCTACCACCAGAGGACTGCATGTGATCCAAGTGAAGTAACAAATCCAGAGCTTGTCACAAGAGATTGCAAAGCTTCCCCACTCACCCCCAGGGGAGGTGCCTGGTCCTGAATGTATATTAATCCACTGGACTCTGTGTTTTGTGGGACCCTCACCATCGAGAAGACCAAAATAACCAGATCGATGGGACACTGCTGGATTACATGGAATGGTGATACTTTTTCTTCCCCCGTCTGCTTTTTCCTATTTCTATCTCTCTTTCTCTGTCTCATATTTACCAGTAAATAGAACCCGTACTATTGACTTTGGCATCCGGTCTCGTTTGTACCTTAATTTGGGCAGAGGCATTTCTAATAATTTTAATAACCGGACCAAAACACAAGGCCATGCAACACCAGTGATGCTGGAATTAAGTGTCAGTCCACTGCAGACATAATTAGTGTCATATTTCGAAATAGCTCACTACAGCAATAATAAAATGAATTCTACTCTATAGAGAGTTTCTCTCCAAAATTAGTCTTGGGATAAAGTGGTGGATTTAACCTAAAATGACAGCCTGCAAAGAGCTGCACGGGAAGATAGAATACTGGTACCTTAGCAAAACTGAGATGGAGACTTCTTCCTATGAGAGTTGTAAAGAAATATCAGAAAGAAGTTGCATTAGTAAAGTTGAAAGCATAGTTAGAACTCTTCTTGGTAGGTACATTCTGAATAACTGAATCTACATTTAGAACTCTCCAATGGTTTTCCTAGATTCCAAAATTTTTGGTCTTACTGATACCTCATGTTGCAGAAACATTAATGAAGTAAAACCTTAATTTTCCTTAATGCTTTATAGAATCATAGAATCATAGAATCGATTGGGTTGGAAAAGACCTCCGAGA